GCCCCCGGAAGGCCCCTCCTCCGCCTACACGCCTCAGTTTCCCGCCTCCACAATGCGAGGGATGGGGGCTGGCGGACCAATGAGCTCTGACTGGCCAGAGTGGACAAGTCTTGCAGGGACGCCCCCTCCCCGACCTGTCACTTTCTCCCAAGCCTCCTGATCTGCAGTCCTGGCCCAGTCCAGCTGCCCCTTCTCCAGCCTGGAGCTGAGGCTACCACAGCGGCCTCCGGGCCCGTCCCTCCTGCCGCCGCAGCCGCTCTAGTCCTGCAGATACACAAATCTGCCAAGCTACAGTGTGTGTGTGCGGCTGTCATAGTGTGCACCCAGGACAGGTGACCTCACCTCCCTGAGCCTCGGTGCCCTCATCGTGCCCTCATCGTGCCCTCATCTAGGGGGATAACTACACCTGCCTCACAGCCCATAACCAGGACCTCATGGGAGGACAGGTGTGGGCTGGCTGGCACTCGCTGACAAGAGGTTGATGATGGTGGCAAGGATGCTAATGATGACCAGGCTGTCCTGCCTTCCAGGCACCTGTAGGGGAAAGACCAGACACCTTAGCATGTTACAAACACGTGGCCCAGGCAAGCCTTCTCCTCCAGGAAGTTTTCCTGCCAGAAATGGCTTCTCCTCATCCACTCTCCCTTCTGGGACTGACTGCCTAGAGCCCCTGTCCCATGGCCAGGCATGAAGGTGGTGGCCAAGAAAGTGTGTGTGGGTATAGATGTATGTCTCCAGAAGCCTTCTGGCTTCAGAAATCTTATAGACCAAGCAGGGAAGGAGAGGGACTTCCCCAGAAAGCGTCACTAGTGTGTCAGCAGGGGGGTGAATGAGAGTCCCGGGGCAAGAGGGGGCGGTGCACATGGATGTGACCTGCTCTGGACTCAGCAGGACACCCCATCCTTCCCATAAAGCTTGTCCTAGGGGCCTGGGGAGGGGTATAGGAGGGCATGGAGAACACTGCCGCCCTAATGCGAGCCTTTCTGCCTTGCCAGGTGGGCTGGGCAGCCCAGTAGCTGTGAGCAGAGCCAAGAGGAATCTGGACTCACCAGGCCTGGAGATGGCTGGAAACTGCTCTTGGGAGGCCCATCCCACCAACAGGAACAAGGCAAGTGTCACCAGGCAGCTCCTGTCAGAGGGGGCTCCTCTGCCCGGGGCTGCAAGACAGGTGCGGTGGAAGGGGGCAGACCCAGCCCAGCATCCCTGGCTCACACACTCTGCCAGCCAGGCCCCATTCTCTAGCTCAGGACAGACAAGCAGACAGCAGGGCCCCTCTGGGCTCTGTGGCCTGGCCCTGGCTACCGGGTCCTTCAGATTCCCAGGGCCTTCACCACCGGACATCCTTGAGTCCGGTCCCATGTAGACCTTGGGGTGTCAGTTACCAGCCTTCAGAGGCCTCATCATTGCTTCCCTGTGGATGTGTGGTGGGCAGCAATCTCCCAAGGCCAAGCCCTGCCAGGCTGGTTCCCAGGGGACCCTGATGTCACGTGCTCCATGGAGCTCTGGGCCACCCTGCCAGTGTCGCCCCCGGCTCGGGTCCATTATTCACAGTTAATCACTCACTCGCCTCCAGGCTCCAGCCATGGCTGAGACTCTGACAGCCCATCAGGCTGACCCACCTCTTCTGCCCCCACCCTCCTTTTTCTCTGAGGCCCTTAAAAACTCTAGAATTACCTCCCAAATCCCAGACAAAACACTCTCAAGTTGGAAGGACTCCTTGAGTTTACCACACGTAACATCTGGGGAAACTGAGGCTCACACCAGTGTAGTAACTTGACTGGGGTGAGTCCAGAGGTCGGAAAAGAACCAGGACTCCTCCTATCCGGGGGTCCCAGCCAGGCCCACAGCCCTTTCACCTTTGGTGGTGACCCCCGTGGAGTGGCCGCCACGGGGGACAGGCACAGATGGGGCTGGCTCGGGAGTCTCCAGAAATCCCCCCTCCCCAGAGAAAAGACAGAGCCCAGGGAGGGGACCGCGCTCCAGGGCAGGCGTTTTACAAGGTGGTATGTGGCTGGGATGGCAGCTACACGCCCAGTGACTCACCCACCCTCCCACTCTGACTCCGAGGAGAGGATTGCAGGGTTTTTCCAGCCTGCGAGAGGCAGAGTGATCTGATCTGTCCGATGTGGCCCCTGCAGCCCAGGTCCCTCCGGAGCCCAAGCTAGCCCTCCGTGGGCTCGTTTAGGCAATGGGTCTTGTAAATTACTGGGTCAGCTCCCCAGCTAAGGCGAGGCTCATAGGAGGCCACTCTGTGGCCTGAAGTGCCCAGGGCCACCAAAGGAAAGGCTGACTAAGGAGCAAGCTAGAGGGTATGAGAGTTGGCAGACAGACAGACACATGTGTAGCCAATAAATATATTCAGAGAGTGATGGGTGGTGAATAAGACCCATGCCCTGACCTCGTGGCATCTCCCCAACATTTGCCAGCACCCTCAGTCCCTGCTTGCAGATTCCCCTTGTCCAAGCCAGGCCGAAGGTCCCTCCCTTTCTTACGGGGTGTCAGGCCCAGAGAGCAGTCTTTTAGGACGTAGCTTTCTGCCAGAGCTGGAGGCCATCTGGAAAGTGGCGTAATGGTCCTGCTTCAAGAATCTTCTCATTTGTTTAGTTGTTGTTTGTTTTGTTTTGATTTTTTTGGAGGGAGAGTCACAAGCAATGAGAACTGATACCCAGCCTTAGATTAGGGGTGGCCAGGTTCAGGCCCTGTGGGAAAGAGTGCTGGGATGGATTGGTGATGTCTGCCAGGGTGTGGGAAAGGGAGTGACAGACAGTGCTCTGGGCAGCCTTGGCCGCCTGGAATGAGAGGTCAAAATCGACAGCCTGAGAACCGAATCCAAATTGTAGATGTGTTGTGTTTGGCAAACACATGGCTTTTTGAATGTGAACATTTAAAGATCAGGATAGTTCACATTGTGATCTAGAGTTCTGGCTTCTCTGGGGAGAGGGGAAAGAATGACCCACCACTCAGCCCGCCAGTCTCCCCTGGCGCCCACTGGCTGGAGCAGGGCTGCTGCCCACTTACGCAAGACGGATGCCCTCTGATCTGCCACCGCCCCCCCCCAACTTGCCAGCTTCTTGCACTTGGCCCACCTTCATGCATTTGTATGCCAGCCCAGACCCTGCAGGCAAGACTGGTTCTTAGCCAGATGGACTCATATAAGCAGACCAATCGTCAAAATACTGAAGTGTCCCCCCACAGCTTGATAAATAGCCACTGTCTCAAGGGTCGCCCCTTCTAGGGACCCCCAGGGCCAGATCCAGGTCCCTCATGATCCAGAATCCCAAAGGGTCATCCTGGCCCAGCAGGGGCCCACCTCTGATTCCCCAGGGCTCTCTGATCCCTGTCACTATGGGACAAGGTCCACTTTTGTCTTGAGAACTTACAAGTGACTCTATTTTTTTAAATAAATATTTTCATGTTTTAGTGTGAAAAATTGTTTCATGTACAGAAAGTCTGCACACACCTTCACCGATTCATCAACTGTTAGCCTATTGCCACCTGTGCTTTCTCTCTACGTATCTCTTGATAGATTGCCTTTCTGTCCCAGAACTATTTGAAAGTAAGTCGCAGACATCAAGCCCCGTAGCCTCCAAACAGCCTGTGTCTGCTAGGAACCAGGGCATGCCCGTGCACAAGCACTGCACATTTTCCTGTTCAGAAAATGTAACATTGGTACAACACCATTACCTCTATTCCATAGTCACATTTCTCCAGCCATCCCCACGCTAGCCTCTATAGCAATGGTTAGATCCACTATAAAACCCAGGCTGACAGCCCTGCACTTGCTGGTCATGTCTCTTAATTTCTTTCAATACGAAAAGATTCCTCAGTTTGTCTATCTTGTGTAACACGGACATTTTCCTTTATGGAAGGCTGACTTTTCTTCACTGTCCCTCCTGTAGACTGCTGGCTGCAGACTCTGGGGCGTGGAGGGTGGCACTCTGTGGGACCGGGGTGCCTTGCTCCAGTTGGAGCCAGTGGTTCTACAAGTCTACAGTCAGGACCAGCACACCTGGAATCCAGTGGGGGCTTAGGGGTGGAGCTAGCACATCTGGACACAGGTGCGAGTTTGGGGGTGGAGCCCGGCCAGCATCATCAGGCATCTCTCCTCCGCGCCTGCGCAGATGTGTCCCGGTGTGAGCGAGGCCCCCGAGCTCTACAGCCGTGGCTTCCTGACCATCGAGCAGATCACCATGCTGCCGCCGCCGGCCGTCATGAACTACATCTTCCTGCTTCTCTGTCTGTGCGGCCTGGTGGGCAACGGGCTGGTCCTCTGGTTTTTTGGCTTCTCCATCAAGAGAAGCCCCTTCTCCATCTACTTCCTGCACTTGGCCAGCGCGGACGTCGGCTACCTCTTTAGCAAGGCCGTGTTCTCCATCCTGAACACAGGGGGCTTCGTGGGCGAGTTTGCTGACTACGCCCGCGCCGTGTGCCGGATCCTGGGGCTCTGCACGTTTGTCGCCAGCGTGAGCCTCCTGCCAGCCATCAGCTTGGAGCGCTGCCTGTCGGTCGTCTTCCCCGCCTGGTACTGGCGCCGTCGGCCCAAACGCCTGTCGGCTGTGGTCTGCTCTCTGCTCTGGACCCTGGCGCTCCTGGTCACCAGCATCCACAACTACTTCTGCATGTTCCTGGGCCACCAGGTGTCGGGGGCGGCCTGCAGGCACATGGACGCCTTCCTGGGCATCCTGCTGTTCCTGGTCTTCTGCCCGCTCATGGTACTGCCCTGCCTGGCGCTCGTCGCGCACGTGGAGTGCCGCGCCCGGCGGCGCCAGCGCTCCGCCAAGCTCAACCACGTCATCCTGGCCATGGTCTCGGTTTTCCTCGTGTCCTCCATCTACTTAGGGATCGACTGGTTCCTCTTCTGGGTCTTTCAGATCCCGGCCCCCTTCCCCGAGTACGTCACCGACCTGTGTATTTGCATCAACAGTAGCGCCAAGCCCGTGGTCTACTTCCTGGCCGGGAGGGACAAGTCGCAGCGGCTGTGGGAGCCCCTCAGAGTGGTCTTCCAGCGGGCCCTGAGAGATGGGGCCGAGCTGGGGGAGGCCGGGGGCGGCACGCCCAACACAGTCACCCTGGAGATGCAGTGCCCCTCGGGGAACGCCTCCTGAGAGGCCGGCAGCTGGAGGGGAGGCAGGGGCCAGAGTGGCCTGTGGCCTCCGGGGCCCTTTGTGGAGGGACAGGAGCAGAGGAGCTGCCCCGGTGCCCGAGGGCAAGGAGAAGAGTCTGCTTCCTGCCTCACGTGCCTCCTCCTCCTGCGCTGAGGCTGTGGGAGTGGCCGAGAGACAGGAGCCGGAGCAGCCGCCTGCAGACAGGCCCTGGGGCCGCACCAGGCTCTCCCCAGCCCTTGTCCTTTTTCCACGACCCACTGTATGGAAGTTGCCCCCAGGTGGGGCTCCTCCTTGCCCCAAGCTGGTCAGGAAAGGAGCAGAAGGGGTCACCCGCCCACCTCCTGCCCCATTAGTCAGCCCTCCTTGTAAAGAACAGCCGGCACCTGCGCCCGTCAGGCCAGCAGACTCGTCCCACCGTCCGGACACCTGCTGTCTCCATCCGGTCCTCTCAAGTCAGCACTGTGAGCAGACCTGCACGAGATGGTGCTATTGGGGACAGGGTTCTCCCTACCCTGCCTTGCAGCTCAGTCTTTCTGCAGATGACGCCTTGCCCCCCAGTGAATCCTTTGGAGACTGAAATGGGGCTTTCTGTCTTGGCGATGAGCTGGACACAGGAAGGACCCTCGGCCGGCTTGGGTGGGTCACTCTCTCTTCTGACTCCGTGCCGGCCAGTGTGTCCGAGCTGCCATCAGCCTGGTCTCTGAGGCTCCGGGGGGCCATCCAGGCCATCTCTGGGCCCCTACCCAAAAGTGGGCACTGGCTCCACCTGGCTACCTTGACCCACCTGCAGGCACAGTGGCCCAGTGTAGTCAAGGGAAGTTTTATGAGAGACAATCAATGTGTATCAATAAACATTTCTATCTTGCACTGAGGAAGGCTCACTGCCCTCTGTCCTGCCCATGGTCTTGTTCCCACCATGAGGATTCCACAGGCAACCGAGGCCCAGATGAGCAGGCTTTCCATGCTGCACCCCACGCAGCTGCTCTGCACCCCAGCTCTCGTGCCTCGTTCCCGCCCGGCCTGTCTCCACCCTTGGCGTGCTCCCTCTTCTGGTAGGGTGTCCACTTCTCTGCCAGAGGGAGCTTGGTCAGCCGCGCTGTCCTCTGTTGGCTAACACCCAGGCCCTTTTCACCCACACAGGGACATCCTGCTCCCCCAGGAACCTTAGTTTTCATCACACCTACTCAGTGCCAGGCTCTGTGCTGGCTGCAAATACAGTCCCTGCCCATGAAGAACACAGTGTGTCCACACAGGGGACCCCTGGGGTGGCAGCTGCATCTTCTGCTTTCTTGCCCCCCATCCAGAACCCTCTGTTCTGAGCTCTCTGAGGCTGGGGCTGGCATCTGTGTGCCCAGCACCACCTCCCCACTTCCCAGCAATAGGCCAGAGCCCCTCTCAGGAGACATCCTCAATTAGGGCTGAGCCGGAAGTCCTCCTGACTGCCCCCTCGCCTCTGTCAGCCCCTGCAAGAGGCCCATCTGGGGCTCCTGGTATCCAGCCTGGGACCCCGGCCCCTCTGGGGGAAGATCTGGGCCCAAGGAAAGACCAGGCCAGGGTCCAGGCCAGGAGCAGGTCCAGCCCCTCTTCTGTGGAGGGCCAGGAGATGGCCGGGAGGGCTGGCTGGCAGGGTGGCTGAGGGAGCAAATGGCCCATGAAGGGAGAAGTACCTCCCAGCAGCTGCCACTCTGCCCGCAGACCCTGGACTCCTTCTGCCTGACCCTGGTGGTCCCAGAGCAGGGGTGGCCACACCACCCTTGGGCCAGCTGGGCCCTGAGTGCATTTCCCTGATGACTGGCCCCCGGCAGCCCGACTTATCCCTCTGGCCACTCTAGGCCACTGCTCTCAAGTTTCCCTTTCTCACAGTCCCAGCCACTCCTCGCAGCAAGGCCACTGCTCTGCAGAGACAGGGGACCCTGTGTGGTCCAGAGGCAAAGGTTCCAGGAGCTTCTGGTGATGGAGGTGCCCCTTTGCCCCTCTCCCAGTGCTTGGGGTGCACCCACCCCAGCCTCCCACCCATCCCTCCCCGAGCCAGCCAGAGGATCCCGGGAAAGCAGAGTTGGAGGCCACCCCCACTGACACTTCTGGGAACTCAGAGAAGCCAGGTGGGGTCCTGACGACACACATGACGGGGCGGGGCTGGGAACCGCCAACCAGAAAGCTTCCACAGCACAGGCCTCACACGATGGGAAGGCCTCCGAGGCCTGCAGGTGCCCAAGGTGGCCGTCCAGAGCCTGACTCCTTAAGTTCCAGTGAACCCCAGCCCCTGGGAGTTCGCCTCTTCCTCAAGGGCCCCCGACCCTGGGCCTCCAGCCCTGACCCCCCCATGGAGAGCTGCCCCCAACCCAGGAACTCCAGGGGCCTCCCTGCCTGCTGTCACGGCTCAAAGCCCAGGCTTGCTGGGTGGACAGACAGCCCTCACCCACTGCCCGGGCCTGGAGGGCAGGGCAGGGCTGGGCCCCATGTGAACACGCATGTGCCCGTAGCAGGCGCTAGGCCAGGAAAGGTGGGGGGTGAACCCCAGGAATCAGGCCTCTCCCGGCCCCTGGAACCTTCTCACTGCAGTCTTGCTAGAGAGCCAGTCCCTTTCTCCCTCCAGCCAATCCGGCCCCCAGGAGGCTTCCATTCACAACCTGACCACCTCATATCTGTGCTAATGGTTCTGCGCTAATGGAGGGGGCAGTATAGATGCCTGCAAGCCAGAGCTTCAGGCCCTCAGCCACTTTCTTCCTCCCTCCTTTGGTGTCTAATTATTACAGGGGCCAGGGAGCTGGCTGCGGGGGTGGGGCGACGTGCCTCTGCTATCCCTGCCGCCCCCAAAGCAGCACAGCCAGGTCCCCCAGTGGTCCCCCAAGCTTCTTTCCAGTTATCCCATCAAGGCAGGAAGCCAGGGGGCCCCAAGCGTCACCCTGAAACTGCCTGGAGTGAGGGATCTGGCCATTCTCACTGACAACTGCTGGTCCACAGAATAACAGAATTATGAGTCAGGGAGTGGGAGTCTCTATTCCTGTCTAGGCGGCTGGACAAAGAACCATCACTTGCCCCCCTGCCCTGGCTGCTCTGCTCGATACAAAGCCCAGCTGCCCACCCCCAGGACATGCAGGGTGGGGCGAGGGGGTGGAGGGGTGGAGGGGTGGCCACGGGCAGGGGAGGGCGCTCCACATTTTCATCTCTCCGGTCACTACTGTCTCTATAAAAACGAGCAAGTGGAGAAGCATGCTCTGTTAGATCACCCAAGGGATAAACACGGCCAAATCTGGGGAGCCAAGAGCAAGCTGCAGGGAGGCAGAGGGCCGCCGCCCCGCAAGCTATGGGACCTCGGTCTCCAGTGGCTCGGTTTCCCCGCCCACTACGATCAGGTTTCAGAGGGGAGGGGAGCGGCCACGGAAGGAGAGACATTCACGGGAACCACCAATCCCAGACCAGTGGTTGGCACAATGGCTGCCATTTGTTGAAGACCTACTATGTGCAGAGGGCCCTGGGCTGAGACCTCCACGTACGAACATCACTTAATCTTCACGACAGTGCTCCACTATACAGACTATTAGCGGTTGTTGTGGAAGCCTGGGCTCCCAAATGGGTTTCCTTGTCCAAGGTCAGTCCTGCCAGGTGGACAGCCCTGCCTGGGGCCCCAGTCACCATCCAAAGGCACCAGCACAGTGGTTTTCTTGTTTCCCTGGAAGCTCAGGCCTCTGAGCTCCGTGTTGCCCACCAGCAAAGCACTGGGAGTTGAGGGTTCAGGAGTGATGCATGGAATAGACAGCACATGCCCAGCACAGCCCAAGGGCACCCCTGACCGGCCTTGTTGGATTCCACAGCCCATAGCGATCAAAGGAGGGGACAGCCCAGTTTCAGGCTGTCGGTGTCTGGAAGGGAGTGGGGGATGGGACAAGGATGCGTGGGCAACAGACAGCACAGAGAATGGCCTGAAAGCTGAGGCCTCCTCCTGTCTCATCTTCCATGTTAATCAGAGGAAATGGAATGCCTCTCTGGCATCTGCCCGGCTTTCCCGAATCTCCTGCCAGTATAGTTTGGAGATAACTCGAGGTTTACATTTTAGGCCAAAATTTTGAAGCCTGAGGTCTCTTCTGCACAACTTGGGTTCAGAACCCTCGGCTAAGAAGATTTCTCCTTCCCAGAAACCAAGGGCTTTCTCTAGAAGGCGACATGGAGGGATGGGTCCATTTATGGTCCAGCCTCTCAGCGCGCGGGGGGAAGCCCCGGCCCAAGGAAGTGTGCCCTTAAGCGCGTTGGCAGCCAGGCCAAGGCGTTCTGCAAACAAACTGCAGAATCTTCTCGAACCAGGACGACTTGAGAACGCCAGTACAAAAATATGACATTCTAAGCCAGTGGGGGCTGGAGAGTAGCCAGCAGGGCTTTGGAGAGAACAACAGGACACAGTTCACAAAACTGAAACTCATGGAAACTCTGCCTCAGTGAGTCAGAGCGCCAGCACCAAGTTTCCTGGCGAATCAAGAGAAGGCTTCCCTGCTCAGGCAGATTTTTTCTTAAATCTTTGTCATTGATTTAATTATAGTCTAATTTGTATACAATTGCATGCATCCATTTAATATATCGTTCGGTGATCTTTGGCAAATGTATCTAAAGCTCATGTTATCATCAAATCAGTACATAAAATGCTTCCATCTCCCCGAAAAGAACATTTCTATCACCCCCCGCAGAAGTTTCCTAGGGCATCCAGCCCTCATCCCACCCTGCCCCGAGCCCGAGGCAACCGCGCATCTCTGCTTTAGCCTCTATAGAGATTACAGGTTAGTTTCACGGGCAGATTTTTATACCGTATCAGGCAGCACTTTTAGTGACAAATACCAGAAACTCGGTTTAACTTAGCTTGGGGGAGAGAGGCACAGGTGGGGGCATGCGCGTGTTTAAGGGAGTGCACTGACCCGGATATCAGGGAAGTTCCAGAATGGTTTTCACTCCAGACACAGCTGGATCCGGGCCTCAAGTGATGTTCCTGAGATTACTTCCCTTTTTTCCCTGTTTCTCATCTCTGCTTTTGTCTGTGTTGCCTTTATTCTCAATAAATAGACTAAATGGCAGATAACTAACAGTTCCTAGTTTTCATTTGACAAATTCAGCAATCCCAGCAGAAAAGAGGGCAGCCCTTTCCTGAGAATTGGGACAAAAGTCCAGACCATTATGCCCACCGGGCAGGCCCCAGTCTCATGCACTTCCCTGGAGTGGGAGGTGGGCTGGGGCATAAGGAGGAAGCCCACCTGCTGAAGCCCAACAGGCTGAGAGCAGGGAAGAGGTGAGCTCAAAGAGAAAGAATGAAAAGGAGCTGCTAGCAGGCAAAGTGACAACAGTGGGCCACATTCGTCCCCCAACATTCCACCACCCACATACCCGTTTCTTGCCCATGTTTGATTTTATAACATTCCCACCCCAAATCTGTAGCTATATTATTCACAGCAGACAATGCACTCCCCCTAAAAGAGAGACAATTCAAAGTCAATTCCAGGGACTGCCCCCCTCCCCCAGCACCGAGCCCAGGATCTGTGGGCCATTTGCATCTCTCTCCATCAGATCCAAAGGTACTTCCTCTAGGGTTGGTACCCAGTCCTAGTGATGGGTTCCATCCACGCAATCCAAATGATGATGGCCACTCTCAAGACACACAATTCACTGTGGACAGGACAGATGGAAGAACTATGACTATTTTTTTAAATCCCATTTGAAAAGGAGAAAACAGAAACAACATATAACAGGAAGGGGATAGCTCAGTGGTAGAGCACGTACTTAGCATGCATGAGGTCCTGGGCTCAATCCCCAGTACTGCCATTAAAAAAATAAATTTTAAAAATGAATTTAAAAAAAAGAAGTAACACACAATGTTATTGGGCCATAGCA